GGGGTCTGCGATGATTCCTTCTGCCTGTTACATACTTTTTCACAAAAACATTATAGTCTGATTTCCCATATTCAATGGGTTTAGGGTATAATAATTATACAGTAAAAGTCTTATAAAAGAAATAATAAATTTTTAAGATTATATATGAGACGAGGATAAATTTCAAATCTATAGCTTCGGTAGTGGTAAAATGGGGTTACGTACATACGGACGAACGGAATATGTATTATAAATTTAAAAAATGTTTATACTGTTGGGTTGCCTGTCGAATCAAATCTAAGCAGAAAATTTAGTTTATTCATAAAATAATTATCATTAAATGTTGTTTTATTTAAGATGTTTGGCATGAGCACAATAATCAAAAGCTGCTTCCCGGTGATAGAACAACGGCTCAGCTAGGATCTCTTCGACCGGCGCAAGTGTATCATATAAGATTGTTTGCAGAAAATCATCTAGGCACCAGTGCTCCAAGTGATATTTTATTTGTGCAAACTGATTCAGAAGTTCCGTCTGCCCCACCGCAAGATGTGACTGTTGAGCCGCTGGGACCACAACAGGTGAGTGAACTCACAATATAATAATAATAACAATAATAAGGCCATAAATTCCATCTTAATTGATATGTACTAGTGTTGGTATGTATAAAATAGTTTTTCTTACACATACATATATGTACTCCCTCAGCATACATATCTTTTTTAGGAAAAAATGTTAATTTAATTAAAATCTTTTTGCATAAATAGTTACTGATTACATGGCGAGCACCTGTACGTGATTCGTGGAATGGAGAACTATTAGGTTATACAATTTCATACCAGAAGCAGGGATCTCCAGAAAATGAGAAAAATCACACCAAGGTCGGAAGTTTGACTACAGAGGGCTTGAATGATTTCCGTTTGATTGGATTGGAGAAATATACTCAGTATGGAATTACTGTATCAGCATTTAATATAAAAGGGGACGGTCCCCCGAGTGATGTGGTATTAGGTCACACTTTAGAAGACGTTCCCTCAGCATCTCCTCGGTCAGTATCATGCGTTGCGCTCACTGCCCAAAATATTCAAATATCGTGGCAGGCACCCCCAAAGAAACTATGCCATGGAGTTATTCAAGGCTATAAATTGCTTTATGAGCCAGGACTTTTAGAAAGTGAATACAGCGTTCGGGAGACAAAGATAACATCGGCTCTTAGTACAGTGCTTCACGGATTGCAACCGTTCACAAATTATAGTGTTCAAGTATTAGCATTTACTCGAGCTGGTGAAGGCATTCCCAGTTCACCTGTATCATGCATTACGGAGGAAGCAGTTCCTGATGCGCCGGAGCTTGTCAAAGCTGCAGTGAACACAGAATCTTCAGTGATTATTAGCTGGCTACCTCCTCGACGTCCCAATGGATTAATTACTAAGTACAATGTTTACATACGAGTTCTTGAAAAGGGTCAGGAGCTGAAAATCCTTAAAGAAGTTTTGCCAGCACATAATAGGCATTTTGAAGCAAAAGACTTAAATTTTCGAGAAACATATGAAGCTTGGGTCACAGCATCAACAAGGGTGGGTCAGGGCCCAAGTACTCCAGTGATTAAGCTAGTGCCCAGCACAACAATACCAGCTGCAATAATATCATTTAGTCAAACTCTGTTCGTAAATTGGAGGTCAGATATTAAGCTAGCATGTGTTTTTGTGGGAAATCCCAAGTCAAGTGCCGAATGGAAAATTCTCAATATTCGATCCAAAAAGCATTTTCCGCTCGAAGTTAACTCGGAGAATACGTTAACACTACGTAATATCCAACGGTCGCATGAAGGCAATTATTCATGTATTGTTAGAAATCCAATGGGCTCAGATCATATTGTTTATCAACTATTTGTACAAGGTAAAAATAAAATACAACATATTGCGAACATTTAAATAAAATATATTTTACTTTTAGTTCCGCCTTCCGCTCCTATTGTGTCCGTAAATTCAGCTCACAAGAATTCAGTATCCATTCAGTGGAGAGTCGACGATATTGGTGGTGCTCCAATTAAAGGATTTACTTTGACCTATAGACGAGAGTCCGCCGAATGGGATGAGTTACAAATTGATCGCCGAATTACTTCATATATGATTGAAAACCTTCAATGCGGCACTAAATATCAATTCACAATGACTTGTTTCAATAAAATTGGCACCAGCGTAGCTAGTGCTATCGTCTCAGCGCAGACAAAAGGTAATAAATATATATAATGATGTTACAATTCGATACACCTATGGTTTATTATCAATAATATCAATAGGAAATAAGCCAATAGCACCGCAAAGGAACAGCTTCATACGTTCGAATACAACATCAGTTATCCTAGATTTGTCCTCTTGGCAAGACGGTGGATGCCCAATACTTTATTTTAGTATTGAATTTAAACACTATAAGACTTCTAGTGAATGGATTATCGTTTCAAATAAAATTGAAACACATGTTAGTATACTATTTAATTTTGTACACTCTATTGTCATCATTTATGGATTGATTTTGTTTTTTGTATAGAATCGTTATAGTATTGGAGACCTAGAGCCAGGCACTGCTTATCAGCTACGTGTTACGGCGAACAACAATGCTGGATCCACGACAAAGGAGTTTTATTTTGAAACACAGAATTTGCTTGGATTAGCCGGTAGCTCGGAGTTTGATGCGATGCCCGAAGAACAAACTGTTTTCAGTGATGTTCACTTTATAGCTGTTATCATAACATCAATATTTGGAACAATTCTTGCATTAATAGGAGCTTTTATCTGCTTTAGAAATTGTGTGTATTAAATATTTATGTCTGGGCTACAAAAAGAAAACAAAATAGCTGAACCCTTTATGTTTTATAGATCCTCATACTTTGTTTACACGTAATGTTGATTCATTAAGGCCACAAAGTAGTGCTACAGATGGAAAGGATATTCAAAGTCATGAACACTTTTATGGTACAGTACGCAAATCTTGCCAGCAAACCCCGAATGAAGCGGTTGCTGGACTTGAGCGCATACCCGAATACTCAGAAGACATATATCCTTACGCTACATTTCATTTACCAGAACATGAAAACCAGTCCGGGAATATTCCTTTGAGCTACACAGGAAGTTCATTAAAGTACGATTCTCGCTGTGAGGATGAAAATACTTTATGTAGCTCGGGGTCGAAAGGAATGCGCCCTGTATCAACGAATATAAGTGGAATCAACTCAAATGTCAAACTTCCTAATATGATGACAGTTGATGACAGCAACAATATAACTACAGAAAAACGATCAAAGCGACGATCGAAAATTATAAAGTCCGAGTCGGAGGAGTACGATAGCTTAAATAGTGATAGTGACCTAAGTGGGGAGCGAGAACAAGTCCGTGATGAAAATCGTTCAAGCAACCGTGAAACTTCAAGTTTTATTGAGGACGAAGGGACTACAGGTATTCTACTGTACTATAAATACCAAATATTGAAATCATACATTTTGTTATATTGTCTCAGCACATGGAAGAAAAATCAGAAATGACGACGGAATTGGTAAAGAAAGGTCTTCTGTATTTAGTAGACCTCAACTGCATAGTAAGTTAGTACCTACTCTTTTTCAAAATTTTTCGCAGTTTAATTAATTAATTAATTATTTTTTTTTTTTCGATTTTCTATTCATACTCTGAGCTCATTGAAAATTAAAAATTGCAGTATGACTTTTGCTTTAATGAAATATGGTAGACTCCATAAAGTAAATAATAAGGACGAGCTGATTAGATCTATCCCTGTCTGGTTGTCGGTCCGTCCGTAGGTGTGGACACATCGGCCTTAGAACCTGATAGAGATGTCTATCAATCGTAGATCGAGTATGCTTCAAAAATGTTAAATCCCTGACAAAATTCAGTTGTATATATCTCTATTTGTATTTAGTTTACAATTTGATTTTTGCTATGGTATTTTAACGTTATATGCTAATTTTAATGATGAAAATGGTTATTTATCCACAGCGCCTTGGACAACGTACCCATCAACTATAGGTTCTTTGACCCGGGCACAAACCAACAACGCAAATCAACGCACCATTGTGATTCCCAGCGGAAAGTTCTCACAATTAAATCTGCCAAAGCTGCAATCCAATGTCCAGATATGTCCAGAAGTGTACCCAGTTGTCAGCGACTCAAAAGTGCCGATAGTGGTGTCAACTGCGGCACCCTTAAGCGCGATTGTGGGGAAGCCAAGATTATTTCCCGACAAACTGTACAATCGGACTCATGCAATGAAAAACTAAAGCTACGTGAGTCGGATGAATTCGGTTATAGACAAAAATTTGTTGATACGAATAAAGAGCTATTTGCACCAAGTGAGGGTGACCATTTTGACTTCTCAACTCATCGGCGAAATATTTATAGCATTGAATCTGTCTCAGATTCATTAGGAATAACGAATAGCTCACATGATTACAATTGCATGGATACTTTAAGTAACACTGAAACATTAGCTATCGGTTCAACTATGAGTGACCATAAATTTCAGATGGAAAACACTGAGAGTCTATCAAAGCCAAGCTTAACAAAAATCACAAAAGCAGAGCAATTAGATTACATTCTTACTGAAAAGCGTGTTAGTCCACCATCTGCTTTTGTTGATAGAGTTGGTTAAATGTAATTAGATAAGATTGAATATGAATACTGCATTTATTAAACTAAAGTAATTAGTAGATCAAACTTTGCTCTCAACAGCATAATAGGTAATTAATACTAAATGTAAATACCTTATAACATAGTCTAATTATAGTAACAAAATCATTTTAAATACATACACTAGTCGGCATAAGTATTTTGACGAAATCGTGCGAACAAAGCAAACAGTCTATCAATAGCTCTATGTATGCTAAATTATTTGCTGTTTACTTTTTCCGTTCTCTTTCTGCTGATAATAATACATGCAAGCATCGAATTTTCGGGTGGCATAAGTATTGAGCACTTTTGAGCAGTTGACAACCAAGTAATTTTTGTATTTAACTTTAAATGATATATACAAGTTATAAAAATCCAAGGATATTTGAGCATGAATCCCAGGCCTTCAATAGTCGCAAATTAAAAGCTTTCCACTGGTATAAAACGCATTGCAAATGAATTTCAATTCGATTTCGTCAAGCTCTATTATATCAAATAAATATATTTAAAAAGCATAATGATCCATAAATCTTGACGACTGCAGCTGCCAAGTATAAAATATGACCATTGCAGGCAAAATCCTTTCACGGAATGCTAAGGAAATGTTTTTCCAAGGTGTTTTTCTTAGTGTTGCATTTTATTTTTAATTTTACGGCCATGAACATAGTAAAAATACATTTTGGAACAAATAAGAGCAAGGAGGTATCACTCATCAAGTCCAAGGCAAACTTAAAAGACTGGTCTTTAGTAAGGAATAATTGTACAAGTCAAGGAAACTTTGGAGAACTCTTTTATGACTAGATAACAGCTCATATCGAAAACAAAATATAAAAAGGCTCGTAGAGAAAATAACCATGGTAGTGGCTCGGTTATGGTCTAGGGACTCTTGCTATTTCCCTTGGCAGGAAATAGGGTCAATATTTGAGTATCCTAAATTATCATGTCTTTCTTTACGACGATAGTCATATAGGAAAATATTTTTTCCATTAGCTGGATAATGCTATTTGCTATGATATCACGGCTGATATTTAGCTTTCTTCCTTTGATCTGGTCTTCTATGAATCCATAATGAAATACAAAAGACTACTTAAAGAGTCTATTGAAACGCAATATAACAATTTAGTTAAAAAAATCCGAAGGTTAGGGATATGTCCTGATATTTTGCAAAATTTAGTGGATTCAAGTCTGCATCCTCACCAAAATATTATTGAAGGGAGATATACCATTGATTAAATTTTTCTTTATTCTTTTATTTTTGTTTAGTTTAAACTTTTTACATTCTTATCAAAATACTTATGCCTTACCCTAAACTTATATGTATAAGTATCTTTTTAAATTTGTATGAAAAATATTTAGTGGCAAATTTTTAAGTTTTTATTAGATATATATAAAAAAAAGAAAAATAAAATATTCTAAATAAATTCGTTATAAAATGATGTTCAAAGTACGCGAAAATTTGTTGATCAAAATAATTATGCCAAGTAGTGAATGACTAAGAAGATCGACTTTACTGTGTGTCGAAAACATAATTTAATTGTTAAATGTAAAATTAATAATGATATAAGTATATTATTTCTACAAATGTTTTTGCGATCATTTATTCTCTTGCAGAGAATATAATCTGTTTACTTTGTTATGCAATATATTATCGGGATTATAAAACGTGTACAGTCTCAATCCGTATCACCCATCAAATCAGTATAATTGAAGCTGGTTGTTTAAGCCATTGCAGTATAAAATTTTTATATTTTTTCTTTGTAAATGAGTTTCCCGGTTGCAAAGATAGTATCATAATACTTAAAAAAACATCTTTCGAATTTAATATTACATATGAGATAGTGAAATATTTGGGCAACAGACTACTGTATCGTAAAGATCTATATCTTTTTTTGTTCTTTTAATGAACACAAACTTTAGTTCTGGCCATAATACTTTTACATATCTGGAACCCTCTGAGAACACCTATGTGCCACATTTATACAAGATCAATTCATATGTAGCTGGTTGAAGATAGACATCTCTGATAATATTTTAGCAAACCTCATATTTCAAAAATCTTCCAATATTAATGTGATGAATACTTTTTTTTTAAAGAAAGCAAATAACTTAAGTCAATTATTGTAATGCAAAAGAAGAAGAATTACTGGCAAATGTTTTAGGGAAGAATTTTAGATACAAGTACCCAACAATACTATTTTCCCGCTACTTGAAAAATAAAATATTAAAAAATTATACTTGGAATTGTCATTGTCTAATAAACAAATTATATTGGCTCTTAAATTCTTGCATGTAATAATTGATTTTGGTCCTGTGTATTGAAGTCTTTTAAGTTTGCAAATAATGTAGTTCATATCTAACATTTAGTATTAAAAATTAATGAATCAATTTAGTAGCAACTAAATAATAAGCACGATTTCTTACTTACACCAATAACAATTATAGTACATTGTCATCTCAATGATAGGTTAAGTTTTCACATAATTTGGAAATAATTGAGCTGTATCGATTACAATATTAAAATAAACTTAAAAAATTCTTCCTTTGGGCTAATAACGATATACGTTAATGCAACGTATAGGCAATGTTAACTCGAAAATTAATAATTAATTTACTTATTATATAATCCTTTCAAAATTGTATTTACTCCTATACTGAATTGTTAAAAGAAACAAGTAAGAAAGCTCTTCGAGCAGCTGATATTTAAAAAATTATTCGCACATGCACACACACAGAAACACAGGAACACACACACGAAAACTTAGTTGTTTAATAGCTTGTTGGTGGTCAACGTTCATGAAAGTTTCAGATTATGATAACAACATAGATATGCATGTATTTGCCGAAGTAAAAGTCTCTAATATTTGAAATAAGCTCTTTAAAAATATGATGGTGAGGGTGTAAATATAGAGGTGGGGGGTAATTTTATCACAAATCGAAATTTTATAAAGTACATAAGAATCTACATATAAAATTTGGAAACTCTAGCTTTAAATATGTAGCAGATATACATTTTTTTCTGATTTTCAATATTGTTTCAAAACAATAACAAAATAACGTGATATATTATCGATTTTTGAAAAAGATACCCTGAACCATTCAAGCTGATATTCTAATCATTCTGTACTTCTTTTATGCATACATACACACACATGCATCCACACGTACGAATACAAACGCTCTTTGCTAACTGCGCAGTAAGCAGCGACTGCGCTTGGGCCCTGCTGCAGTGCACTGCAGCGCAGCGGGCAATATGAGAATTTATTTGTTGAATAATTTAATTTGTAGACGTACAATCTTAATGAAACTTTCAGAACGTAATCATAATGTATAAAAACATTCCAAATCACAAGTCTCTAGTACTTGAAATACGTTTCTTATAAATTGGGGGCCAAGGGGGCGTGGTATCCAAAATCTGTTGATTCAAAATGTTTGTGTTCATCATATATATATATATATATATATATATATATTCATCATATATATATATATGATGAACACTAAATTTTGCAAAATATAGACTCTTTAAGTAGTCTTTTGTATTTCATTATGGATTTATAGAAGACCAGATCAAAGGAAGAAAGCTAAATATCAACCGTGATATCATAGCAAATAGCATTATCCACATAATGAAAAACATATTTTCCTATATGACTATCGTCGTAAAGAAAGACATGATTATATATATATATATATATATATATATATATATATATATATATATATATATATATTCATCATATATATAAAAATATATATATATATACCGAATTAATTTTCGATTATTCTCGATAAAAAAGTTATCGGATGAGTTATCGAAAAAATATAATAAACTCGCACTGCGTATGGTATTTACGAGTATGCTTGCAAAAGCTCTAGATTTTGTATCTTCTGAGCTCGACGCACTCGTACGGACGGACAGACTGACGGACAGGGCTAAATCAATTGAGCTCGTCGACCTGATCAAGAATATATATACTTTATGGGGTCTGCGACGATTTCTTCTGCCCGTTAGATACTTTTTCACAAAACTATTATACCGTGATTTCCCATTTTAAATGGGTTTAGGGTATAACAAGTAATACAAACAAACCCTTTAATTAGCAAGTGAAAGTGCATTATACGAGAATAACAGATATCTTGACCCTAAGGGATGATTTCGATTTTTGTTGTAATTTGGCATATACACGCATTTTAGTGTTATAAGAACGACTAGAAAGTTTAATGAGTATATATAGTTCATCAATAAGAAATGTTATTAAGCAATTAAGTTTGCAAAGTAAACCCACACAGCAGCCAATGCGTGTTTATGCTTGCATCCTTACGTTTTTCTGTGTGTGAGTGTATGTTTTTCTTGTGTAAGCAGAAAGACTTAAAGAATTATTGTGAAATATCAATTCTTCGAAGGGTTCTGGGTATTTCGCAGTCGAGCAGTCGAGCAGTCTCGACTAGAGCTTTCTTACTTTATTTGTTTTAAAATAAACAATATAAGATTTTGTGCATTTACAATCATCAATACAATTACAATAGGTATTTGATGGTGACTAACTGAATACATATTAAGTTCGATGTCATAATGCATTTACTATCAATAGATTGCCAATATGTTTTGTAATTATTAGACTGAGATGGTATGCAATCGAATCACGAATTTTAAATAAGTATATCATTTACCCCAACATAAGTAAACTAAATACAATACCTAATGTTTTATACTACTCTCTTACAAGTAAGCGATTTAACATAATACATTTGGAATGATCTAATATTTTGCTTATATGTCATAGGTTCAGAAGAAAGAAAACAGTACATAACACTAATCAATTTAAGATAGCATATCTACTATTATAAAAATGTCATATATATTCGTAAAATTACGTTCTGAATTCAAGATCAATTTGTATTGTCAATTGAATTATAATATTAAAAACGAAATTGTTGTGTACAATTTTGTAACACTTATGATTTGTACTTTGTTATTCAATTCCCTTAACTCAGCAAAATAGCAAATGAGGGTATACGTTTACAGATAAGTATTGTCGCATAAGCAAGTAATTGACAAAAAACAATTTAATTTAAAACATATCGAATTTTAGTTATTTAGTGTATTATTACTAAGCCTGCAAATAGATGGTACAT